TCGGAGAAGGGTGCTGCCCATGGTGTTGGCTAAGTTCTGTCAGCAAAAGAGGGCGTGGCCCATGTATATCCCCCTGTTCAGACTCCTTCTATGGCCGAGGGCAGCTCGCAGGCCCAGCCGCTGTTCGAAACTAGGTCCCGCAGACGACAACAGACCTGTGTTGTGACGCAACCGTTTTGAGACCAGTATAGGTTGCTCATATGTTGCAGCGGCAGTCGATACGAGCCCAGCTGTTGGGGATAACAGGCGGACACCCCACTGGGGTGTATGGGGCGTATGTCACGCCTATGTTGGCCTTGGCGGGACCTAAATTCAGCAAAGTTAAGCTATTTGGTGCGCATCTTGGCCCGAGGTTGGGGCGAGTGGGGCCCATGTGGTGTATGTTGGGCACATCTTCGGACCATGTTGAGGCTATGTTGGGCTTATGTTAGTCTATGTTAGGCCTATGTTAGCCTAGGTTGGGCCTACGCTGGGCCTATGTTGGCGTATGTTGGCCCCAGGTGTTGGCTTATGTTGGCCCTATGTTGAGCCATCTTGAAGGCTATGTTGGGCATATGTTGGGATACGGTCTATAATTAAGTCTGTCCACGTGGCCCGCATTACCGACACCACCGGCGCCCTGTTGGGCGAAAGTCGTGGCTACCGAAGACCACGAAACACGGCAAAGCACGATGCGTTTCACCCGGTAGAGAACACATAAATCGGTCGATTGGATTCGGGCGGGGGTCGGGTGGGAGTCGGGAGTCGGGCGAGGGTCGACCGGGGGTTGGGCGCAGTAAATGACCTTCGGTTACTAACTGAAGGCCTCCGAGAAGGGAAACCAAAGCAGGTACCCAAAAAGTTGACTTTGGGGTACCTCCCAGATTTACCATCGGACGTCATCTCTGGCGTGAACCCCGTGATGCTGAGCCCTCCTCCCCATAAAGGATATCATTGCCCAAGAGTTTAGACCCAACCCATCACCACCAAAGCAGGTACCCAAAAAGTCGACTTTTTGGGTACCTCCCAGATTTGCCATCGGACGTCATCTTCTGTATGAACCCCGTGATGCTGAGCCCTCCTCCCCATACAGGATATCATTACCCAAGAGTTTAGACCCAACCCATCACCACCAAAGCAGGTACCCAAAAAGTCGACTTTTTGGGTACCTCCCAGATTTACCATCGGAAGTCATCTCTTGCATGAACCCCGTGATGCTGAGCCCTCCTCCCCATACAGGGTATCATTACCCAAGAGTTTAGACACGTACGGTACTCTGCACACCACAGAAGCGGGGTGTGCGTTGTAGTGTGTGTCCCCACCGTCTATGCCCCCTGTCCGCACACTATCTATCGCCGAGGAGCCCTCGCAGGCCACACTGCACAGGCGGGGTCCACAGGACGCGTAGTGGTGTGCGTCCCGTGACGATAGAGGACGCCCATGGTCTAGGGTACATTCAAGTGCCACAATTGTGTTCAGCGCTGTAGGTTACTGACGCGTCGCAGCGGTAGGGTGCGGTACGTACTGCGGCCCACGATGGAAGGAGTGCTGTCCCGGCCAAGTGCGTTCCACCGGCGGCGTGAGTACAACAATGGAATAAAATAGGTTAGCAATAGGTTAACCAATTTTTGGGGAAATCTGGGAACCCAAAAACAAGAAGAAGTGCTAGAAAATTCTTGGAAAAGCATGCAGCCGAAGCCGTAACAAAATCTAAACAAAGCCTAGAGCATTCCTACGACGACCAGGACCACGCCGCGACCAGCCCGGGATTCGAGCCCGGGACCATTTTGGACCGTGCTTATTTTCCCGCGCGGGTGGAGCGGGTGCCCCAAGATGTAAATATATTGGGATGGCAGAATCTTGGACAATCCAGGTCGCAATCACGTCGCACTTTCGTCACTGCAACAAGGGTCCGGAGGGGTAGGGGAGGTAAGGTCTAAGTCTAAGTCTAAGGCCAAGGCTAGGTCTGAGGTCTAAGGCTAAGGCTAGGTCTGAGGCTAAGGCTTAAGTGTAAGGCTAAGGCTTAAGGCTGAGGCTAACACCGACAGTCACGCCTCACCCCACGGTGTGGGGTCGGCGGATTTCTTTCGACCTTTAGGCCTTGCTTTCTTCAGGCCTCTAGACAGTCTTTAGGCCCAAAAGAGGTCTATTCTTTTGCCTCCAACAATAACGATGGCCTCCAACCTAAAAAGCGGGAGAAGAGACGTCTCTTGCAATTTGGCAACATCGCCCAGTGGATGACGTGGGCTCCACGGAGGAGGAGGCCAAGTGGCAGCGGAAGCATCGAGCATTGCCGACATCTTAATGTTGAACCGGCAACAAGAAGAAAAACATAGAACATTCTCAGAAAACGCCACGGTGGGAAGAGGGCTGTGATACAGTCCTACGACCTACTATAAGACTATAAGCGTGCGTTTGCGGGCTTTGAGGTGTGCTTTAAACCTTGCTGCTTGCAAGCAGAAGTTGGACAAGTTTGATGAGGTCCGAGTGACAATGTATGGAAACACACCTAGTTCTGATTGAAGCAATGAGAACCCTTTTTGTTTGTCAATTTCCCCATCTAGGCCAGTTCTTCCTCTTGTTTGTATAAGGTTGCTCCATTTCCTACCTTCTCTCACACGTTCGAAGACAATATTCCGTTTTGCATCTTCCATCAAAGAGGCTGACATTGCGCCAGGCCATTGCCGCTTGCGACACAGCCCTTGAGTCATATGCCTAGAACGGCTGGACAGGTTTGAGGTCAACCGACACCTGAATACAAAGAAACACAAGTAGAACACACATGCAGCATATCATATGCATGCATATGCAGTGGATGAAACATGGTGAAACAGATGTAGAACTTGTCAATGTGCATCTTGGAGACTTGACAGGCTGGATCCAGATAATGTCAAAGCACTTTATCGTAGAGCAGAATCGAGAATAAGGCAGATTCGGTTTGGTTCAGCTTGATGTGAAGTACAATGGTGTGGTTTGAAAGAGGTGAGGAAGCAGATAGACTTGGTCTTTTCCAGGCCTGTCAAAGCTACGGCCTATGAACACGACTTGGCCATCAAGGAACACAACACACGGTGCCGCCCCGGCACCATGCGGCACTGTCGGCACCATGCGCTAGGACTTGGCCAAAGCCAACCGTTTGGACCCTTCGAACCAGACTGTGGAGCGACTTTTGGTGAGGCATGTGGGATCATGTGATGGTGACCTTGCTCCTAGCAGCGATGCCCTTTGTTGCTAGTAGCTTTTTGTTCCTATCAGTAATGCCAGGAGCTACTAGTAGCTCCTTGTTACTAGTAGCGATGCCCGGGTTCCTATTAGCGATGCCAGGAGCTAGTAGTAACGTACTTCCTCCTAGTAAACGCTACTAGGGCATGTTGACTACCTCTACACCAGAATATCATCACCTGATCTCCCAGGCTACGTGGAGAGCGACGCGTGCAGAGAGAGAAGGACTTGTAAAGACTCACATTTCCACAGTTCTTCATGGTTTTCCTCAAACGGTTTTTTCTTAGTTTGTGTTTTTTTTCGTTTGAAGCACAGTAAGCCTTGGCTTTTGGTGCTCGAGGATGCGAAGACCTTCACGGGGATGTTTGACCGAGGTCAGATTTATGACAAGGCAAGTGGATAAACAGAGCCGATCGGTGGACGGAAGCTGATATCAAACTTGAGATGTACAGAATCCAAGAGGTAGAGCCCAAAAAGGACAAAATCAGGGCAAATAGAACAGGATGGGATCAGGGGGACGGCTCAGAGCGGGGGCTCTTTTTCGCTTTCACGCCGCGAAACCCCAGAAACCAACAGCGCCCGGAAAAAGGCTTCCCAGCTGTGTTCGATGCAAAGGTTCTTGGAATTGAGGTGAAAAACAGAGATGTCTTCTCATTTGAGTTCTCAGGTGGTTTAGTTATGTTTGGTTTCTTGGTTTATGATATTTTCATTGTTTTTTGTTTGCCGTATTTTTCACTTTTTGGCTCTTCATCCTATGGATAAAGTTTGAAGCGCGAATACATATGGGCTTCGCTTCGTATCTAAAAACGAGAAACCCAAGACTTTTAACCGCAGTGTTGTGGCTTAAGGGTGAATGGCCTCCTCGAGTAGGGGAGGCCGTCAAGCCATACACTTCGTGGACGACTGCGCGTGTGCGTGCTGCGCGGCCGTCCAGAAGCTGTTCCTGTTGCTCTTCTACGAGGGGTCGACAGAGCAGCTTCGAGCACGAGCAGTACCGGTCCTCCAGCAGGCTTACACCCAGCTCCTTGAGGGTGCTTATTTGGACCGGCTGCAAACATCAACCCCTGGAGTGTCGGGGGGTATCACAGGAGGAAGCGGGGGCACCAGCTCCTGGTGAAGTAGGTGGAGAGCGACCCGGAGGTCCAACTCTTCCACCATCTGGGCCAAGTGCAGTAAGGCCTGGAGAACGTGAACAAGGAGACGGAGCTACATCTTCTGTGGGTGAGGTTGCAAGCCCTGGCACTCACGAAGCAGCGGGAGAAGGTCCTATCTCTCCTGGTGAAACACGGCCACCACTGGCCAGAAAGTGGCGTGTGAAAGAGGAGCCATCGCCTGAGGAAGAGGAAGAGACTCATACCGGGCGTGATCGGCGTCGGAGGAGGGACTCTGGAGAACGCCGTGAGAGGGAGAGGACCAGGACAAGGACAAGTGAGGCTGCAAAGGCAAAGAAGAGCGAGCAGCCCAAGCCCAGCCGCCGAGAGGAGGTATTCGCAGAGGAGGATACAAAGGAAGAGAAAGACAGAGCAGTGGCCAGTGACCCAGCCGGATTTGGGTTGAAGCCAACCTCCAAGCCTTCGCCAAGTGAACCCCAGGAGGAGGCAGGGCCTGAGGTTACAGAGGACGTTGAGGTTGAGGAGGAGGAACCAGCCGCGTCCTCCAGTGCAGCGGGGGCGATCGAAGCCCCTGGTCCTACAGGCCACCACGAGGAATCCGAAGAGGAGTCCCCCGAGCAGGCGATCTCTGAGTACGACGAGCTCGAGGTTCCTGCAGCGCTGCCAGCACCCAGCCACGGGCGTGCTACACCGACTGGGCGAGGTCCACCTGACCGCAGAGGGCCAGCCCCGGGGCAGCGGTATAGAGGAGGATACCAGCAAGAGTACAACAAGGCCAAGCGAAAACGCAAACGGAATAAGGGCCTTAAAAAGAAAGCCCGTGACAGAGAATTCAAGTTTCAAAAGTCGCTCAATCCTCGATGGCGCCGAAACGGCTAAGGCGCCCAGCAGCTCGGCCAGATCGGAGGAGGGTCATGGCCAGGCCGGCTTCAGAGGGCCCACCTGGGGACGGGTGGGTGGCTGCACACGAGATCGATTTGAGGACGCTTCAAGAGATGAAAGCAGGGGGAGGATGGAGCTTGGACCACAGTCCGGGTGCACGGGACGTCCACCGAGAGCATCCTCAAGTACATCAGCGGCCAAGCAAAGAAGGAGTTGCAGGTACCTGTGCGACAGCCCCTGTTCCACTATGACATGGGGGGACACTATGCTCCACGCAGACCGGATCAAGGCCGTGGAGTACGAGGCATTGCCCTGGAGCCGGAACTTGGAGGTCTCCGTTCGTGAGGCCGAGAGAGACGAGCTCGAGGTTTTGAGGAAGGAAGCCGGGGAGCGTGGCAAAGGAGGAGGGGAAGCCCCCAAGGGCAAAAAGGCCAAGAAGGATCCCCTGGACGAATCGGGGGAAGAAGAGGCAGACAAGAAAGCCGAGAAGGCCAAGTCAAAGAAGAAGGAGAGAAGGAAGTTGAAGAAGGCCCGAGACAGGGTGATCGGCATCAAGTCAGCAGAGGCTCTCTTCGCCACGACAGGTCTCGATCCAAAGGAGGAGACCAGGCGGAGGTTACGCCGCAAGGCCAAGAAGTTGGGAAAGCGCTCCCGGAACAAGAAGGAGTCGTCGGGGTCAACATCGTCCGGGGAGAGCAGCGATTCCAGTCCATCGGAGGAGGTAGAGGCGCCGGAAGAACTGTTCACTCCCCTGACTGCAACTCAACGAATCTGGCGGCGATACCCTGGTGTTCTTACAGCAACTATGGTGTTGGAGGCCCAGCGCACTATGATGCTTCAGTTGGGGGCCTCACTCCCGGAAGCAGAGAAGGCGGGAGTGAAGCCCATCATATTGCAGTACTGCCGGCAGCAGCTATGCCAGAACATGAGCGCACCGGTGGCCAGGGAAGCATTGCATTGGGCTGCAACCATGGACATGTTGTTGGAGGGCCGGGTGGCCTCGGCTTTGGACGTGATGGGCCAACGGCTCAAGAGCCTGGAGGGGCTGTCACGAGGCCTTCGCACAGATCTATTGCGGCAGATGGAGCTGCTCCCCTTGGAGAAGGGAGGCCTGGCATCCAACACGGAGGTGAACTTGGCCGGGCAAGCGGCTCATCAGGAGGCCAAAATCCTGCACAAGGCGAGCAATACTCCATGGGAGCGGGGCAAAGGAAAAGAGAAGAGCGGCAAAGGCAAGTGGAAGGAGGAGAGAGCAGACCACAAGGGCGACAAGGGCAAGAAGGACAAAGGCGAAGGAAAGAAGAAGGCTCAATGAAGGCGTTGGAGTCGAAGGATCGGGAGAGCAAGGCCCTCCCGGATGGAACTATGCATGGCACTATGACTGCACCCGAAGAGGAGGCAGACCCAGCTCCCGGGTGTCGGGAGTTGGGCGTGGCAGAATTCGATAGCAAGGCCACCACATCAGTCGAGATGACAGGAAGTGGTGCCCTACCTGGTATTCACCTTATATTCCAGCGAGCGGCTGACCTGTTGCGAAAGGACGAGCAATCGCATACACGGCGCTCCAACAAGGACACCAAGACCGAGTCCAATACCCCGCTGTTTCCGCTGACTGTGGAGGCAGAGTACTGGGCGACGTTGATGGAGTCCGGTCACCCGCTGGCTGATGGAAAGGTGCTTTCTGGAGTGGTCCGTGGCTTGAATCATTCGGCTGGATTCGCAAGCGCCGACTCACGACTGGAGAGCTGCAGTTCTTCGCAGGCGACCATGCCTACCAGATCGACCACGCAGGCGCAAGTTGAAAAAAGACTAGCTGCTGTTGTGAGTCGAAACCATTTTTGGAATGAAACGGACACGGAGGTTTGCTTTGATTCGTTCTTTTTAAAGAGAAAGGTTGATTATATGGGGGAAGAGGTTAAGGTTGCACAGCGCATGACTTGGGCGGCTATCCAAGAGTCGCTGCCTGATGCTGTGGGTAGCCTGCCGTTGGAGAAGTTTTGCCGGCTTGGAACCTTGGAGTATGTGAAAAATTTTGAAAAATACTTGGTCCCTCCGGGTATTCAAGTAAGGCCCAAACCACCCCGGGTCATGTGCAGTGACTGAGCAAGGGATTGTGCGAGGTGTGGCCCATCGAGCGGTTGCGCCATATTGAAGGGCAGCCCTTGTTGAATGGACTCTTTTCCGTAGGCAAGGGCGAGTTCAAGGGCACCCTGGAAACGCAACGACTGATCATGAACCTTGCGCCAGTCAATACCCTATGCAAGAGCCTCACAGGAGACGTCGGAACCCTCCCAGCAATATCAGGAATGAGCGGGTATCTCCTGGACCAGGGAGAAGTAGCCCTTCTGTCGAGTGAAGACATTCGGTGCTTTTTCTACTTGTTTGCCATCCCAGAGCAATGGAAGGCCTACATGGGGTTCAACAAACCAGTGCCAGAGTCCATGGTGCCAGCTGAGTTGCACGGGAGGCCTTGCGTGCTGGTCTCCGGGTGTTGCCCATGGGCTTTCTTAACTCTGTCAGCATTGCCCAGCACATCCATCGAAACGTGGTGCGGTGGAGTGCGATGTCAGGAGATGTCTACGTGGGCGCTGAGGAGGAACTGCGTAAAGACAGGCCTATGTCATCTGCCTCAAATCTCTACAGGATATACTTGGACAACTTTGATGCACTTGAAAGAGTGTCCTCGAGGTTGGCAGGGGAAATCAAAGGCACTGTCAAACCACAGGTTGAGCAGCTCAGGCAATACTATGAAGAGTTGGGCCTACCGAGGCATCCCAAGAAGGCGGCTCAGCGAGTTACTTTGGGCGAGATGCAAGGAGCCCTGGTTGACGGGGACCAAGGCTTTGCCATGCCAAAACCCCAGAAGCTGGTTCAGTACTGCAAGTTGGGTTTTGAACTCCTGGTACGAGGCCAGTCAACCCTCAGGGAGTTGCAAGTAGTGTGCGGAGGATTTGTGTACATTGCTATGTTCCGCCGGCCCTTGCTGGGAAGTCTGAACTCAGTGTTTGAGCACATGAAGAACTTTGATGGAGAAGCCCCAGTGGTCAGATTGGCACTACCCTATCAGGTGAGGGTCGAGATCGCGCGGTTCATATTGCTTAGCCCTCTATAGCTCAAATTGACTTCAGGATTCCCGTCGACGGCGAGGTCACAGCGTCTGACGCGTCTACGACAGGGGGCGGGCTTTGTGCTTCAATTGGCCTAACCTCCTACGGGGTGAATGCTGCCAACTGCCCTGCCCGGGGCGATCTCCCTGAAGAGCATGACATGGTGCAGGTTCTCAGCGTGGGGCTGTTTGATGGGATCGCAGCCCTGCGGGTGGCATGTGATGCCCATGGCCGGACACGTGAGCATAGAAATGGACCCTCGATGCCGTAGGGTGGTCGAGAGCTTCTTCCCAGAGACAGAGTTCCATGGAGATGTCTGTGCGTTTGGCGAAGTGCAGGTTCAGGCGCTGGCCTTGCAGTACAGCAATGTTGGGCTCATCCTGGTGGGGGCTGGCCCTCCCTGTCAAGGGGTGAGCGGCCTGAACGCCGATCGCAAGGGCGCCCTCCGGGATGAGCGTAGCTGCCTCTTCAAAGAAGTTCCTCGTATAACACAGCTCTTTCGGCAGGCCTTTCCTTGGGCCCAGGTGCATGAGCTCATTGAGAATGTGGCCTCAATGAGTATCGAGGATAGAGCAATCATGAGCCGGGAGTTTGGACGAACTCCTGTGAGGATTGACGCAAAAGGGATTTCACTATGCGCACGGCCAAGATTGTACTGGATTAGTTGGGAACTTCTGGAACAGCAGGACGTTGAGGTTGAGGAGAGCACAGGTGAAGGTTGGAGCCGCTGTCAGCCCCTGCGGTTGAAAGGAAAAGTGAACGGTAAGGGCCTCCTGATGCCGGGATGGTCGCTTGCTGAGGGCTGTCACCTGCCAACTCTGACGACATCCAGGCCAAGAGCAACGCCAGGAAGGAGACCAGCAGGGCTTCAACACTGTCAACCTCACGAAGTATCCAGGTGGGTGGCGGACCGACATCGGTTTCCACCTTATCAATACAAAGACGACCATGTGCTATGGAACCGGCAGGGCATGTGGCGACGACCAGGTATTCAAGAAAGGGAGGCTTTGATGGGATTTCCCATTGACTATACCCGGCAATGCGTACCCAAGGGCGAGCGACGAGGTGAGGGCTATGAGGACATCCGCATGAGCATGATTGGAAATAGTTGGCATGTGGGAGTGGTGAGCTGGCTGGTTGGACAATTGTCTCGATCTCTTGGAATGGGAGGTCTTTCAGCCGTACAGGACATCATTGACGCCACCACACCAGGGCAAGCTCGAGACTTCTGCTCTATGCTATTGCGGCCACCGCGTCAGGGACGCCTGGGTTCGGGTGACTCGGAAGCGGCAGTGAAACTGGTAAGCAAGCGCTTTGGCTTCTCCTCGATGAAGGGAGAGGACCTCATGGTTCACACAGGCACGGATCCAGCTCCCAAATACTTCCGCCTTCGTGCAAGTGTTCCTGGACGGTTGTGGCGGCGGCGCGACATTTCAGGATGGCGGTGGCGACATTCGGGAGAGCGTATCAACCTCCTGGAACTACGGGCCATTCTGACTGGTATCAAGTGGAAGCTGTCACGATCCAAGCGATGGGGGATTCGTTTTCTTCACCTTACAGATAGCATGGTGTGCATGCATGCTCTGACCAGGGGTCCGCTCTGATGCTTGCAGGTGATCTTCATCCCCTTTGGGGATATATACACACGTCGCAAAACCCAGCTGACCGGCCCAGCCGTAGGCCGGTGAAGAAAAAATGGGCAAAGTAGGTAGGGCCTTCCTCGAAGGTCACAGCAAGCAAGCCAGACAGGTTCAGCGCAAACAGCTTGGGTCTCTAAAATCCCTCACGGTATCGCCAAAGACCAACCAAAGGTATACAGCTGCCAGGCAGAAGTTTTACGACTTTCTTGAGGCCAACCATCTTAGCTTGCCACGAAAGCGGGAGCACCTTGACGGGCTCCTGAGCGAATACATTGAGTTCTTGTAGTCCGAGGGCGAGGGCCGGGGTCTGGCTTCGGACACGGTCGCCGGACTACAGGACGCAGATCCTAAGCTTAAGGGGCAGCTCCCTGCTACGTGGAGGCTTTTGAAGACTTGGAGTACTAATGAAATCCCGAACCGCGCGCCACCTCTCACCGAGACAGCAGTGCATGCGATGGTCGGCTGGAGCTTCCTGCATGGGCGCTATGGCTTCGGCATTTCCCTCCTGCTGGCCTTCTATGGCATGCTGAGAACAGGTGAGGTGACCGAAGTGAGAAATAGCCACATTTTTATGAAATCAGCTAGCTCTCCTGCCGTTGTGAGCCTTGGACTCACGAAAAGTGGGAAGCGGGCAGGAGCAGCAGAGTCAGTTACTATCACTGCTGATGTAGCTTTAAAGTGGCTATGGCAGTGGAAATCGCTGGCTGCGCCATCAGCACGGTTTGTCGAATCGGTGTCTGCTTGGAGGACGTTGTTTAAGACAGCCGTTGCGGCCCTGGAAATTACGCTTTTTGAGTTCAGGCCCTACTCCCTGCGTAGGTGGGGCGCGACCTTTTGGTTCGCAAAACACGGGTCGTTCGATAAGTTACTCATTTCTGGGCGCTGGCAAGCCGCTAAAACCGCCCGAATTTATATTAACGAGGGCATGGCGGTACTAGCAGATCTCAAACTTCCCTCAAAGAACCTAACCCCCTTTGTTCGTGCGTTTCACTCTCACAATTGTCCACAACACTTGAACTCGCGCTCTCGCGCAAGAAAAAGGGGGGCGTGGAAGGAAGTCTTACTTGCCATTTTTTGCCCACAAAAAAGATTACCTGGCCTATGGCTCTCGGCTTCGCGAGAGGTCATAGGAAGGTAAAGGGGGGTTTTCCGATCCTCCGGCTTGGCGGGGGGGAGGAAAACTGAGCCCCAAAGGCCTATGGGAGAGGCACAGTACTTGAAGGTACAAACTGATCCGCGAGTGATCAGCATTTGCTTTGCATTCCATTTAATATTTTCTGATAAACTGCGGAGCGCCGTTAAAAAGAGCGGGTTCTTGAGTTTATATATATATATAGAGAGAGAGAGATTGAGGTATTTGGGGAAAAAGGTGATTTCGAGAATGATAAAGCAACGGAAGCGAAGAACGAAAGAATGCTGAAAGGCACTCAATTCTTCAGTGCTTCGTTTCTTGTCTTGGCCTTCGTTTCAGGTGGCTCATGAGGCTAGAGTCGCTGCGGCTACAGCCAAAGGCGGCTCCCTACTTTCCAGTGGTGCCATAGCTGAAAACTGCCTTTCACTTCGTTTGTTTGTTAAGGAAAAGGCAAAGACGAAAGACTCCCCAAAAGCACTTGAGTATATGCAAAAATGTGTGTTGCCTGCAACTTGAAAGGTGTGTGAGGGCCGCTTTGTTCCTTTGTGTGGGGACCAAGGAGCAACCTACCAAGACCTGGAGAAGCGAATAGAAGAGATCTCAGAAGAGGACGGCATGACGGCCGAATTAAGACGGTTGTGGGGAGTAGGCTGTGAAGCACGAGATAAGAAAAGGTGGACAAGCAAATTCAAGGTTGCATGGTACGAATCCTAGATTTCTAGGGAAATTGAGATCGCTTGACATCTCATAGAGTTGCGTACAAAGAAAGTAAGAGGAAGTTGCTTATGTGATTTCTACAAACCGGCAAGATTGTATTTTTGATTGTACTGTTGCCCAGGATCCGCTTGAAAAGCGGATACAAGATGCTGAGCTGTTGCGCGACCTCTACGTCCGGAATGGAAAGGAGCCTTGTTGCAACGAGTGAAAGACAAAGGGATCCAAGGGGTTGTTTAGGATGTTTGAGATTCGAGTGACTTCCGTCGTGGATGTTGAGTGCAAAGCAGCAAGGAGGATGAGGCACGAAAGCTCAATGAACAAATTAAAGAAGCCAAGAAGGCTCACTTGGCTCGAGTTTTGTCGAGGGGTGGTTTACTTTGACTGCAACTCGTTCTATCCAAGAACCTCCGGTGCATATGACGACGTGTTTTTCTGTTCTCCTGTTTAGCATTGATTTCTCCAAGTCCTTTTCTGTCTATGGTTTCGCGACCAAAGGCAGTGAAAGCCGTTGAGCAGCCGAAGATTGATTGGGCCAATCCGCCGGCCGAGCTGGTCGAGGCATCCACAAAGCGGTCTAAATGGTGCAACATATTCGGGGTAATTTGTATCACTTTGCGTGCCTGTTGATGTTGATGTTTCTTTTCTTCTGTTTGTTCCCCCTTTTTTTCAATGTTAAATAATTTCATGTCCTTGGACACCGTTCTGTGTTTATCCTGTGTCTCACCAGGACGCGAAAAGGCATGGCCTGGATTTGATGGACCCGGTTGTAGTCCAAGAGCTCAAGCGATTGGAGCTGGAGGCCTTCCCCACGCAAGTCAAAGATGTGCAGAACGGATCCAATTTATGAAATTATAGTAGAGAGAGAGAGAGACAGAGTGCTGGGATGATTTTGTGAATGTTGAGCAGGGCTTTGACAAGCTCGAGGAAGTGGCCGAAGGACAAGAATCAATAAACTACATAAGGAAAGGTCTAAAGGTCTTAAAAAAGAAAACAATATTGAATACGTAAAGGCAAAAGCAGTCCGGATTCTAAAGGTCGAGAAACAAAAGAAGGATTAGATAACAGTCTTTTTTGTTTTCTTTGCGTTTTCGGTCCAGGAGCCACCGATCCTGAGGAAGAGGAGGTAGGAGAAGGGAAGGGAATTGAAGGGAATGGACTTTGTGTGACATTGTGAATTCTTCACAAGAACTGTGAGAAGAAAGGAACGAAGGTAGAGAAGAACAAAGAAAAGAACAATCAATGGTCTGATTTGCTGGTCCAAAATATGTGTTGTTCTGAAAAGAAAAAATATAAGGAGACAACAACCAAGAACAGTACTGAGTAGGACTGAGTTGACCGTACTTTACCAACAATAATGTTAGTTGAAAGGTGTCGCAAGCATTCACTTCGTTCAACCGCATTTAGTTCTGTCGTATTCGTTCTACTGAAAAGAGAGGAGATAGGAGAAGACAAGTTTGTGCATCTTGCATGTGTGGAGTATCATGGAATATGGAGTTTGTACTGACCTGAAGAAAGCGCAGCGCCGAAATTTGATACGAAGATAATGTGGCTGTGGCTCAATAGGTAACCCTGCCAGGGACAGTTGATTTGTCCATTTTCCAGGGGGCTTGGATGGTTTTAAAGCGCCTCTGAGGATGCCCAACTCTCCCTTGTTGCTAGTAACAAGGACGCTACTAGGAGCAAAGGGCATCGCTACTAGGAGCAAGGATGCTACTAGGGGCTCCTGGCCGTACTACTAGGAGCAAGGACGCTACTAGGCCGCCTTTTCTCGGAGACTTTGAGCAAGAGCTCTAATAGCAATGCCCATGGCCTCCAGAGACCTGCTGATCATGGTAGAATGATATGCCTAATTCCACAATTTGTACAGCTAAGGCAGCCACGGTCATGCTTACGTCCACAAACAAATACTGGTAGTACAGGTGAGAGGTGCTTTGATATGTGCCGTGTTTCTTCTTGCCGAATGGCTTGGTGAAAGGAGATGTTGGCATGGATTTAGTCAAAGTGCAGTAATTTTGCCTGTGGAAACAGCTGCCTCCTGCAGAAGATAAACTGTGCCTGAGCAGTTAAAAAGACCTGTCCATTCAACATTTGTTTGATGAAAACTTCAAAGTGGGTAGCCACGCAAAATCTACAGCTACGCTCACAGGGCGTTGTTGAGCGGTCGCATTTCCAGGGGCCCACAGCGTTGATTGCTGAACGCATGCCAGTGAATCAGCTGCCACCCATTGCAGCAACACAAGCACCAGCTCGTTGCACTAGACGTGGATGCCACGAGGGGCGCACGGAGCACGTGACACACGCGGCGCAGACAGCACAGACGGCACAGACGGCGCAGGTCGCGGAGGCGGCACAAGCGCACTGAGCATTCTGCCCACAGAGCAGATTTAGCTGGATTTGTCTTTTTCACGAAAGGTAGCGGTTACGCTACCTGAGTGTTCCTTTTGCTTTAGCAAAAATGAATTATAACCAGAGTGGAGGCCCATCTCACTGAGAATCGCCCTCCGACATTTCATTTTAGAGGCCGGGGGGGCCCCCGTGCCTTGAACGCTTGGCGTCGATATAGCGGGCTGTATTTTAATATAATGCTGTGCACACTTGAATCTCATGTTTGTGAAACGTAAGCTCGGCTTACCGAAAAATACGGACAGCATGTCTTGACACTGGTTACCTGCAGCCGCGCTGCGGCTTGGATGTCGTTTTTTACCTCAAGTCTGTTTGCGGTCATTGTCTGCCGCCGTGCGAGTGAGGACCACACGAATTATTGGGGCATCGATCACCAGAGTGTTCATAGTATGGCTGGTCATAGAACCATATGACACCATATCATATGCTCGGCGGGCTCGATGGGCTCAGCGGGCTCCGCGTTGGTGTGTTCTCTTAGCATTCGTCATTGCGTCCATCTAAAGCGGTGTCATTGCGTCCACTTAGCGGCGTCATTGCGTCCATGTGGCGGCTGCGTTGTTATCTTCGCTTAAATTGATTGTATAAGTGCGCCTGCTGCGTGGCCCCTAAGTGTTGAACATACGGCCCCCCCCCTTTCAACTCCACCCTGGCGCGGCTCTTTGTCAACGGCTAGAAAACACCGTAAATACCAGTGTTTTCAGCTCCTCCAGTCTGCAAGAGTGGTCTCAAACCACGCAATTTACAGTGTTTTCTGTGGCTGTCCGGCCAAAAACATCAAAAACCTCGTAAAAGCCGATGGCTTTTGAAGTGTCTAGGCTTCAAAACTGGTCGAATAATGACAGAAAACATGGAAAGATTTTGTCGGAAAGTGTTTTTTTTCGGCTTTTGGAGGCTTCAAAATGGCTCAAAACGATGGCATTTACACGGGTTTGTGCACCTTCCCGGCACAAAACCCTGTAAATTGCGATGGCTTTGGGCTATGTACGCTTCAAAGTGGCCACAAAACACCGCAAATACCACTGTTTTCAGCTCCTCCAGTCTTCCAGAGTGGCCTCAAACCACGCTGTTTACAGGTTTTTTGTGGCGGTTCGGCAGAGAAACGCGTAAAAACCGATGGTTTTTGAAGTGTCTAGGCTTCAAAAATGGTCGAACAATTGCAAAAAACCTGGACAGATTGTGTCGGAAAGGGTTTTTTCGGCTTTTGGAAATTTCAAGCTGGCCAAACACGACGGTAGTCTGGAAAGTCCCGGACTACTTGTGATTCCTTGCTACCTTTCGTTCACCCCCTCCTCTCTCAAGTTTTACTATATTTGTATGTTGCATTGCGTCGCTATTTTATGGCACTTGTCCGGAATCGTTTGCACCTCTCCAATTCACATCATTCCTGTTCACTTTTCCGTGAAATGAAAAGATGACCTTTCCATGTTGAAATCCAGAAAAGGTCGTCCTGAAGAGTGGTTGTGCTTCTCTCCAGGACGACTTGCAAGTGCCCTGGAAGAGGCCAGCTTTGCCACACATGTTGGACAGTGTTTCTTGAACGCTGGAGGTATTTGATTTTTTTCCTTGTGTCTTGGCCTGCACAGAATTGAATTCATTGAATTCGTCCAAAAGCACGATTCATTGAAAAGTGTTGAGGGTTTTCCAAAGGAAAGTCCAGGAGACGACATCCTAACAAAGTTGCCACTGCTTTGGCTTAAGGTCATGTATCTCTTTTGGTGTCTGGTGGACGTGGCCTTGCTATCGCTGGCCAGCCTTGGATGCCACCTTTGTTTTTTGCTGTAATTTATTTAAAATGACATGCTTTGTTTGCTTTGTCTTTTTCTGTTTGACTTCAGGCTCCAAAGCAGATGCCAAAGCTCCAAGCTGAACAGCAGCACGCCGAGCGAGGCGAACAATCCCAGTAGGATCAAGTCGTAAGGAAAGCGACAGGACAGAAAAGGCAAAGCGGACATTTCAAGTGGATGAAGGGTGTTAGACCTTTTTTTGATGTTTTAAGTGATCGATATTTGGGAAGGTATCAACATTGTTTGTTGGAAGGTGCATCTTCAGGGCACTCCTTGGAAGTTGAAAGCCACGAGATCGAAGAAGAAGCGGTGCCCGACGAGGCCAAAAATAGAAGAAAAACGGAAGCTTTCTTGAAATATGTCCGCTCGAAGGCTAGTAAAGCTTGTCAAGCTATAGCATGCTGCTCTTTGGATGTTATTGTTTTGTTTTGTTCATCAAGTCTGAGACTTCAGCCAAAACGACCATGCAGGAACAGCAGGTTCCAAGAACAACAGCATTGAAGACCGAAAGGAAACTATATAACTATTTATTAGAACCGGAAAAGAATTCTCCAGATTGATCTGAGCTGATCAATGGTCAATCATCCTGCTGTGGGGGAAAATGCCAAGCTTAATGAGTGAAAAAATAATCAAGCTAAGGGCATCGCTACTAGGAGCAAGAAGCTAGTAGGAGCAAAGGGGCATCGCTACTACTCGACGACGTGTGAAATGCGACACGATGTGAACCCGAACGCTGTTGCAAACAGGACATGCCTTCGCCAACTCCTGGGCACTTGCGAATGCTGTAGCCCGAAGTCAACATGGAAGCTGTACTGTACTTTTTTGAGCTGTTGTTCTTAATTGTTTACGCAATCAAATAGGTGTTGTTAACACTATCCAAGTGTCTTCGAACATCCAGCTTGTCTTCGAACTTGTTGCCTTTCCTCTTTTGTTCTCAGGTTAGACTATGTGAGTCCCTGGATATTTGGGGAAGCCGATGAAACTGAGCTTTGACATGAAAATACATTCATCGAAAATCAGACTAATTCCTATGTTCATATCTTCAGAACACCTTTCAACCAACAACAGCAAAGACCAGCAGTGTGAAGACAGAGAGAAGCTCACAGCGAAGACATAGAAGATGGTCTTGGAGTGAATGCGTTGCCTTTTGAATGGGCATTTTGCATTGATTTTCTGCAGAAACCCTGCGGAGAAAATCCGGTTTGAGAATAGTTTGATCCGCTTATCTTGACCTGGCTTTTACCCGAACCAGTGCACGCCGTTGGCTTTCATTTTGGTTCTTTCAGAAGGGCAAGGCGGTTTGAGCTGGATTCATTGTTCATCAATTTGCACTAGCATTCGCTGGATTTTCGGGAAAGCTCCGAGCATCTTCATACAAGAGGTGGGATGATTAGGTAGCGATCGCATTCCGTCCCTTCTTTTGTGTGGCCACGTAAGTCCTGGCACTGGAGCAAACTGGCAGTGACGCGACGCCGCCACCTGCAGGAGCGGAAGTCGTTCAGAAAAAAACAGAACAGACGTGAAAAGACGCGAACACACGAAGAACTGTTTCCTTTAAGAAGAACGGTCGATGTCGCTTCCAGGCATGGGCCTGTCATGTTCGCTTTTTCCGTGTGGCCAGCTTGTTTATGGCATGTAGGGTACAGTTTACACATGGCTTTTGCCGAGGTGGGAGAATTGGGAGTGGCCCAAAGCCTTTGCCACTTCGTGGCTTGAACACCAAAAGGGTAGTAAAGAGTAATACTATGCGGTACATGATGGTACATGGTTTGATTCGAGATTTCTTTGTCGATGCACTTGCTGAGGCAGTGCATGAAGCCAAAGAGCTACTTTTACTTCCGGGCTTTGTGGGCCTTGCTTTTCCTGTGGCTCGGAAGAAACAAGTGCATCGCTACTAGTAACAAGGGCATTACTACTAGAAGTAGCTAGAAGCTACTACGATCATCCTAGACGTGAGGGAGAGATGATGGTCAGTGATGCCTTAGGGGACATCTTTGCGCCGATGTGCTGCAAAATGCCTATGCAAACAGCTTAGCTTGTGCAATGACAAGATCGTGGTGTAGTTAACGGAGGTCACAAGAAACAGGAAACCATGTCTAAAGAGAGGATAAATGATAAAGAAGAATTGCGTAAAGAAAAGAGAAGAGCAAATTGCTGCACAAGAAACAATAAAGAAATTGTCTTTTTGAAATTGCTAGCACTGTCATTTGTTGCTTTCCAATGCTTGTTGTGCTCGAAGCTTTGCGATGCTGAAGTAGTTCGAGGAGGGCGAGATGCAGCTCTATCTGTTGACATTGTGGGGGTACCCAGACTGGGCAGACTGGGCAGAACTTAGTCAAGAATTGTTGAGGAAGAGTAACACTAAGAAGTGTTTTTGAGAAATCAATCAATCCATATCAATCCCTAATCCCTGGCTACCTCCAAAGCGCTACACATTAGGCGGCTTTGGGAATAGCACCCTTCTCAGAGTGGGTTGACAGATCAGTGTGCACAGATGCCACAGGTACAACAAGTAGTGTTTTGCCAAACCTCTTGCTCGGCTTCAATTAGCGATACACCCCAATTGAACCGAATTCCCTCTGCCTGAACAATGAGCTTGGCCGACAGCGTGGGTCGATGGAGGAAGGAATAAAGACTCATGGTGTGAAAGCCAAGAAAGGAATGATCCAAAGATGTCTATATAGAGAAAGAAAAGTGAAAAGAGTCATAAACGATCACAAAAGATTACCAAGAGTAAAACGAGAAAGAGAGAGTGATGTTTCATGATTTGTCTCATATCTTAAAAGAGAAAGTGATCGACTCCCACAACCATCGACTCCCAAACTTGATCCAGTGCATCGCCAAGTGCCCCAGGAGTAGGTGGACCTTATTGGTCCAAGTCGCTGACAACCTCCTGCAGCTGCACGGAACTGAAAAAGGGACCTGCTGATACAAAGAAATGAAGTAAGACGAACTAAGAGGACTTGATTGTTTTTTTCTAAGCCCGCTCCCCCCCTCCCTACTTAATTAAATAGGCACCTACTTAATTAAGGAAGGGAGAAGCTAGTAGCTACAAGAATGCTACTACTTAGGATGCAGGATAGCTCAAGCTTCAAGGAAGCTCCCGCGACCGCCCTAAAGGCTGCGGGGGAAGCTTCCTTGAAGAAGCTCTCGCACTAATGATTTGGTTCCTAGATGTTTAGGAAAACTTAGCTTCGTTTGTCCTCTTTGTCATTGTTTTAGATCCTTCTTATTTTTGCTTCATTGTTCTTTTCGCTTGCGGCTAAGGATTTGTGCTGCTGAAGCCCTAGAGTGTGTGCACATGTTTTTGCAAACGCTCGAGTCTGATTGAGACCATTTGTGTGAGATGTTTTTGCATGGAAGAATGACTTCAGGTTGCATCAGATTGCATGTACAAGCACTATGATTTTCATTGTGTTTTGTACTGTTGTCCTCGATTCCTCGGGTTTGACAACTACACAACCTGGTTTGGGGCAGAATTGTTTGTTTGAAATTGCTAAACCATGGAGACTCGAATGGTAAGATCCTATATATATATATATATGATCGAGGGTCCTTTAGGTATCATTTCGTAAAAAGAAACAAACACAAATGATTTAATTTTCAATTCAAATATTTATTGCAAAAAGCATTTGTAAATTAACAATTGATAGATTTTGATGTTTTATTTATTTTTTTTAAAAGATTTATTTAATTTATTCAATTTTTCAAATTGTAACTTAAATATATTTAAAAGTTAAAATAGTTCTTTTTGTTTGTGGATTTGGCTATTTAAAAAATTAAAAAAAATAAATAAATTAAATACATTAAATAAATTAAATCGACGTGTATATATTTTTTAATTTATTTATTTTTTTTAATTTACAAAAGGCTTTTGTAAATTAAAAAAATAAATAGATTTTGATTTATTTTTTTAATTTAAATTTACAAAAGGCTTTTGTAAATTAAAAATTGAATAGATTTTGATTTATTTTTTTAATTTTATTTAATTTTTTTTAATTTACAAAAGGCATTTGTAAATTAAAAAAATAAATCGATTTCGATTTATTTTTTTAATTTTA